CAGGAATGACACATTAAGCACAGGCATTACGGAGTGAATTTACAAGATTCTCATCTTTAAAGATGGAGTCTACAAGGTAGGCAGGACAGTGGCTCGGCTCTCAAAGTTTTCAGGCACAAATTCAAACAAATATCAAAGGAACACCATCAGTCACTAAGCCTGGGTTTCAATTTTGTTCTGCTCCTGCTGGAAAAGACCAGTGTCTTCATCTCCCATCAATCTGACTCCCATAGGCAGAGTGGGTAATGGCACCTAGAACTTGGGACTTAACAGGCTCACACAACAAAATGTATATAAATTACTTTGTGTTTTCCAGAACATAAAGATCTATATTTCCAGGGGACCAGCATGTGGTATGGTGGTTAAGGCGCTGGACACTCCCACATGGCCGACCACAGTTCAAGTCCTGGATCTGGTGGCTTGCTTTCTCACTTTCCTTCTCTCTCTCTGGTCAAATGAAATGAAATGAATGAATGAATAAGTAATTTTTTAAAAATCTGTATTTTCAGCCCTAACAATGGTGCTTTATATTTAGAATGTGGGTAATGACTAGCAGAAAAGGCTGGTACTGGTTACCACTAGAATAAAGGGTTTTGGAGGCGGATGAGTCTCCTCCAATTCAAAGCTGAGAAGCTTAAGTAGAGTTAAGCTATCTGACACACAGTCACATTGTTATGAGCCCCATGGCCAACAAATAAAACATTGTTTACGCTTTGAAGATTGTGCTTCATTTAACTGAAAATGAACTGAACTCTTTCTGGGTATGACTTACTGCTCTTTTCGACTTCCGAAGAACAAACAAGAGTATCCAAATCTCAAAATCGAAGTACCAGCAGTGAATTAGTGGACATACTTGTCATATAGATCTCGTTCAACATCTGAATCGTGTACTTCAATCTGGTCAATTTACCTGTACATAAACCTCACCTCAGAAAAGGTGACACAAAAGTGGGAGAGGGGGGCCAGCCAGGGACGTGGTTAAGGCAGGTGGATCCCACATACCTACTTCAGGTTGAGTCCTGAAACTAGTAGCTTCAAGAAAACCCTTGGCAGGTGTGTGTGGATGTCCCAAACCCCAAGAGGAGACTGGAGATGGGACTGCAGCGAGGTCATCCTCCCTGGGGTTGGAGACTTCTCACTTTCCCTCCCTCTCTCCAGCGAGCACAGGTGCCTTATTGTAAAAGTGAAAAAGAAAAGTTAAAAAAAAAAAAAAAAGGCCAGGGGGAGAGCAGACTAAATAAAATTGAAGTGTGTATAGGATTCCCAGCACAAGCTCTCAAGAGGTTGTGCAAAACTGTATGTATTTACAGAATATCTGCGCCTCGAGGATTCTTAAGATTCGGCAGATAAATGTTTAAATAAAGAATCCTATGAGGGTTACTCTTTTTCAACAAGCTAACTGGTAAAATCCTTTTGGCTAATTTACGTTCTGATCATTTAAAACAGCATGTAAAACAAATCAGGTAGCACATGCAGGACCACTGCAGAGGGATCAAGATTCCCACGTCCACAAAGGCCTCTCAGGACGTGAACCCTTCGCCCCTAACGTGCTCAGCGTCTGCACCTCCTGCTTTTCCGAGCTCACGCCCACACGCCCCAAAGCGGTATTTGTGAACAAACGACGCACTTCACGTGTCTCCTGGACGGTGCAACTCCGGAGTCCTTCCAGTACCAAGCTGCAGAAGGACCTGACCAAGTGCCGGTCGCTCGCCTGCGCCTGGTCCTGGCCCCCCCGCCCGCGGGGTCCGCACGGGACCCTCGGCCCACGTGCCCAGGGGCACTGAAGACCTCCTGGGTGCAATAAGAAACCATCCACCTGTCAGCCTCAAGTCCAGGAGAAAATTCTGGGATAGCTGCTTCACTGCCTGCAGTCTGAACAACTTAATGATTTCTCGAATCGTGGGCAACGGCGGGAGACGGAAAGTGCTGAGCTTCCCAGGGGCGGCCATGGCCCCCAGCAGATGGCGCGCGGCCTTCCTAGGCCTTTAGTGTCCCGGGTGGAAGCCCCCGGCTGGGGAGGAGCCTGGGAGAATTATGCCCGCCTCCGAGTCCGTCTCATTGGTCAGATGTCACCCGCCGGAAGCGATGAGGGCGAACAGGAACTCCGGGCGTCACAAGACGCATGCGCCGAATCCGGCTGTGAGCGGTGCAGTCTGGGTGTAGGGGTTCCAACACGTAGGGGCGGAGGCGAGGCGGGAGGAGGAGCCGGAGGGCTGGGCGTTTGCGGATGGGCGGTGGCAGGAGCGCGGGACTGCGGGCCAGGGAAGGTTAGGGAGGGCTAGGGAGGGTTAGGGAGGGCTAGGGAGGGTTAGGGAGGGGCAGGCAGGGCCCCGCAGGCCCCCGGATTAGTGAGGGAGCGAGGCTGGGGAGCTGGTGGAGCCCTGTAACCCAGCTACGGCTTGAAGGTGGGCACCGGGCTCTCTGATGCTTCAAACGCCCTTCTTGGTGAAGTGGCGAGAAAGCGGGTGATTAGAGGCAAAAATGTCACCATTTCTTCCTTATAGCTAAATGTTGTCTAAGGGTCCTCCCAGACTTGGTAGCAGACCAGTAGCGTACTGAAGCGTAGCGCTGATAGACCACGTTGAAGCAGAGAGTTCGGGTCCTGTCGTGCGCGCCCATTTTAACCAGACAGCTGGTTCGAAACCCATTCTTCCACGTGACTTTCAAAATTGCACATCAAAAAAAAAAAAAAGTTGCACATCAACATGCAGTCGCTGTGCTGGCCATGTCTGGGACTTTTATTTATTACATATTTTTGGTTGGAGTCAGGACTGAGAGCCACACAGCCTGTGTCTAGGCCTTTTTAAAAAAGAATTATTTTACTTACATTACTAGTATTATTTACTTTGTTACAAGGCACACATGCTCGCCAGAGAGAGTCAGGTCCAGGACTGGAACTGCAGTTGGCCACATGGGAGTCCAGTGCTCCAACCACTACACCACCTGCTGGCCTCCAGAACCTGCTTCTTAAACTCTGGACTTAATGCAGAAAAGTCTTTTGACTTGTTTAGGATGGTCCCATTCAAGTATAAGAAAAAGCTCAAACAAGAGCGTTTTCCTTCCATTATACCACAGAAAACAACAAAACAAAAAAATTCGGGTAGGTGGGAGAATTTTACTCTTCTTACTCTATTTGTAGATTGCTGCCTTCCTCACAAGTGACTCATAACATTTTTCATTCTTGGGTACTAAGTTTTGTTTTTAAAGCTACTAGGAAGCCAAATACCTGGGTAGGATGTAGGAATAAGTCTTTTGATGTTCCAAAATAGAAAGCCAGCCACCTTCTATTATAGCTATATTAGAAGCAGCTGAGATAATATATAGCTCCTAGTGTTAAGCAGTGACTTAAAAAGTATGACACTTGGCCCCAGGTTGCCTTGGTAGGCTAAACTCTTGATTCAGAGACCTTACTGTCCACAATGTACTGTTTCAAGAAAGGCGTTCATTCATTCGTGGTTACAGTCATTGTTTTATTTAGCTCTCACACTATCCTAGCAAATGAGATTATTATCCTTATCTTAGCCTGCAGAAGTAGGGGAAGTTGGTCATTTGACTTGCTCGGGATCACCCTGCAAAGTACAGAAGACAACATGAGTTCTCTTATTTCTTAGTACTGATCTTATTGGTCATACCCTCCCAACTCTGAAATTATCTTTGAGCTAGTTAAATAAGTTAATTCAACAATGTTATTTAAATATGTACACATATGAATCTAAATATAAGCTTATAGTTCATATGACTAACAAAAACCCAATTACTGTAAGTGTACACAAAACTACAAAGCAAAAAAAACCCCCCAAAATTACAAAGCCAGTACAGATGAGCCTATTAATTTGTAATAATGAATAATATCAAATGAGTGCTCTTAAGATTGACTGGCAGAATTCTTTAATTGTAAATTCAGCTTTCTAGGGCCATGTAAAGATGAAATGTTCTCATAAGTAGTCTAGGTTCAAACTACTAATAAAGCCTTGTTCAGAATGTTTGCCATTGTCATTTGTCTTTCTCTTAGGAGAACACGGAAGTTATATTTTCAGGCTGCCCTGTCTGTTTTCATTAGCTTGAAAAAAACTGAAGTTGAATTATTTGGCACTATTGCTATAATGCATACACAAGTTGCATGGTATTTGTGAGGTGTCTATCCAGATGACCCAGAATGTAATCACTAAAGAATAAGACAGATTAAAATTTGGAAGAGTAAAAACACTTTGGTGGAGAGAGTTTGTAAATTCCTGGGAATTTGTTCCCAAATCTAAACAGGGATTTCTGGATGGCTCACACCAGGCTGTCTTCAGGAATTGGCATTTAAGAGGTTTTGACCTATCATTCACAACATATTTCCCTTGTTACCTCACCTAAAACTTAGTTTAGCTCTGTGATGTAGATTCACAAAGATATTCCGTAACTCACTGTCAAGATGTATGTTAGTCTGTTCCTGCTTCTTTAACAGAATACTTGAATCTGGGTAATTTATTTCCTTTTTGCTTTTAAAGAGAGATTTTTGCTTGTGCACTCACCAGAGAAACAGAAAGCAAGAAATCACCCCCCCCACCCCGCCCCAGGGAGGATGACCATACTGCAGTCCCTTCTCCTCCATACTCCTCTCAGGATCTTGGACATGCACACGCACCCGCCATGAGTTTTAAACTGCCGGGTCTGGGACTAGAACCACAAGTGACTACATGGAGTCCAGTGATGTAATCATCACACCATCTGCTGGGCCCAAATCTGGGTAATTTATAAGGAACAGAATTTTGTTTCTCACTGTTCTGGAGGCTGGAAGTCCAATATCAGGAAGCCAGTAGATTCAGTATCTGGTAAGTATGGCTCTGTAGTTCAAGATGGGACTTTATTGTCCTCATGTGCCCAAAGGTAGAAGACAAAAAAGGCCTATCTAGTTCTCTCCAGCCCGTTAGAAGTTTTCTAATTCCATTTGTGAGGGCTCTACTCTCACGATTTAATCACCTCTGAAAGGCCTCACCTCTTAGTATTACCACATTGGTGATTCAGTTTTAATTTTTTAAGAGATTTTTGCTATAGTGCATGTGAGCTCACTGGAAAAACAGAAATAGAGAGACAGATAGTTGAAAAATCACCCCCTCCTCCAGGGGTGGGGTGGGGATGGCCATGCCACAATCCCTTCTCCATTCTCTTCTCTGTATCTTGGGCACGCATGCACACGTCCTCAGCGTGCTTTTCAAGCCACTGGGTCCAGAACCCGAACTGCTGTCAACTATGTGAGAGTCCAGCCATATAACCATTATGCCATCTGCTGGTCCCTGGTGATTCAGTTTTAACACATGCATTTTGGGGGACGCTCATATGTAGCACATTACTAGTGAGTGGTATAACTGATATAGAACTCAGATCTTCTGATTCTATTTTTTTTTTAAACCTCTGGCACATGTTAAATAATTTTTGAAATGAAAAACAAAATCCATCTTAGAAGACTCTTCCTAGTTTTTAATAGTTCTTGAGATCCAATTTTTATCATCATAAATAACTGATCCTTACTCTTTTAATTTTCAGAAAATTATTCATAATTCCTTGAAAAACCCCTGTGAAATCAGCAGGGGTGTTTCAGTAGTGTGTTTCACATATTAATGCAAACGTTTTTATCCCTTAAAAGAGAAGTATGCAGTTTCATCAGTTTTGAAGCTTTGAAGTATCTACTTCATCTAGATATAGTTTTTAATATGTTAAAATATTATAATTAGTGCAGAAAATCACTAGCCCCACCTATCAGTAAAGATGAAGAACTACAAATGATTCATACTAGACTATAAGGCAGCATTCTAATTTGCATAAACCCTAGGATGGTTATAGGAAAATGACTTAGTATTATTTTAGTGAAAATGCATACACGAATTTAATCAGTATAAGCAATTTAGTATCTACTTATAGAAAAAGTGCTAATTCTAAAAGGTTATCATTTTACAGAACCCTGTAAGAGACTTGAAAGCTACCACGAGCAGTGTCTTTCTGCCATGCGGATTTTCAGAGAAAATTAAATGTGGCTTGAAATTGCTAGACTAAATTTATAAAATTATTGTGGTATATAAGGTACTCTTTTCTATCTTTTTAAAATTTTTAATTAATTTTATTTATTCATTTTAAAAATATTTTACCAGAGTGAGACAAAGACAGAGAGGGAGGGAAAGTGAGAAAGCAAGGCACCAGGTTCAGGACTCGAACCATCGATGGCCATGTGGGAGTGTCCAACACTTTAACCACCATGCCACCTGCTGGCTCCCTGGTGCTCTTCTGTGATAGTATTTTATAATTATGTGCTCTAGAGAAATATTGAGTTGCATTTGAACGTGTTTAGTTTATTTTGTTGTTATTTTGAATGGTTGATGCCCACTATTTGAAAAGGAATTTAGTGACCTACCTAGAGGGAAGAAGGAAAAGGGTGATAATTCCAAGCAGATGGGCTGAGTGCTTATTCTGTAGGGATAAAAACAGGGCAACTTGTGGCAAGCAACACAGGCTAATTGCCTACAGGAATATGTAACAGTTGCATTGTTTTTAAAAACACAGTGTTTATTACTGTTTCAGGCAGGATTTGAAAGCCTGCTCATTGCCCCCTAGGGCACTGATGAGGCTAGACAACACTTTCAACTCAGGGTAACTCCAAGAGTTATGGGCAAGGTGTCTTCCCACACAAAGAAAGCAAATCTTTTTCTGAGCTACGAAAATGTGCTAATGGCATCATAAAATTATTAGCCTTTATTATATTAACAGTATATTAGCTTAACCTCTATATGTAATTGAAAAAAATGTTAAGAATAAATAAAACTATGAATACATTTGCAATAAGGCTTTTCTATGCATTTGAAAAGTGCTGTGGGAGCAAACTGCTATGTGAAGAGGAGGCTCTGGGTTCAATTAATTCCCTGGGTACTTTGGTGGTATTGCCCCCCACATCCCTCCCCTGCAGAGGACTGTGGGTGGGTTAATGAAGAAGGTCACATGTATTCCTTCTTTCTCTGTCCTAGGTTCCCTATTTTTTTTCATCT